ACTGAATCTTCAGATGGGGGAAAAGCCTGGGAATTCAGCATAAATCAGAAGTGCATCTGCCTCTAATCTAAGTGAAGGATGGATATTACGTTCCTGAAGAACAACTCCCAGCATCAGTCACCAGGCAGCCAAGAGGCCCTGCTCGATGAGCTGCCTGATGCTGTTCTTCAGTGACAATCTTATGGCCACAGATTCTCCATCCCTGTATTAAACCGTTATGTCATTAACCTGCGGTCATTTCTGCACTGTTGGATTAACATGGTGCCATCAACCCACTTCATGTTGGCGCACAAAAATGTCACCAGTAAATCTGCTGCTGTGGCCAATCTCTTAAGTTGCCTCTATTACATCTCATTCAAGTCACTGCTGAATTGGGTTCTCCTGATTTGTGGGTATACCAGTTATCCTCAGCAAGGTGATTGATTTTCCCCTCTGGCTTTGCTGTTCTGCCTCTTTAGCAGGTCTACGGCCTGGAGGAAATCTTTCACCAAACGGGAAGAGTCCCATGTTATTGTGCAGTTCTAAGACTCAGCTAGGCTTCTCTGAGCTGATATGTTTTCCTGAGTAGAAGTGGGGGAGGCGATGTCAGCCCGTCTGAAAGCGAATCCTGAGATGGGTAGGAGTGAAGTATTTCCATTTCTGAGCCAAGGAAAACATTAACTTGCTGAATATATGGCAGGAAGAAGAAGGGCAGGGAATTTAACAATCATGCACCTGCGCTAAGGTGGGCTAGTAGGAAAGAAGGCTTTCCAGTGGTAACTAAGTAAGTGGTATTTCCTACTATGTGCTTATGCACATGACTGGTTGTAATATAATACTGGGCCCTGTGTTCAGTGGTGTGATTCAAATTTTTTTACTACCAGTTCTGTGGGCGTAGCTTGGTGGGCGTGGCAAAGGAAGGATGCTGCAAAATCCCCATTCCCTCCCCACCCCACCAACCTCATTTCCAGCTCTGTTCTCCTATGCAGGGCAACAAAAGATCAGCTGGGACTTGGGACACAGAGAATAGATGGAGGCAGGGCCAGTCAGAAGTGGTATTTGCTGATTCTCCGAACTACTCAAAATTTCCGCTATGGGTTCTCCAGAACTGGTCAGAACTGGCTGAATACCACCTCTGACTGTGTTGATCTATCAAATAATGTATAGTTTTCAGGACAGATCTGCAGTGAATGATTGGCAAATATTCATACAACTCCTTGCAACTGTATATACCAGGGGTCTGCAAACTTGGGAAATTTAAGACTTGGGGACTTCAACTTTCAGAATTCCTCAGCTGGCAAACTCATCAAGAGATGAGTTAATGAGGTAAAAATCATATTGTCTGATGAGAAACCAGACATTCGTCTCCTCATTTCCAAAGCTTTTTTTCTTTTTTCCTTTGTGGTTTTTTTTTTCATTTCTTCCAAAAGCATATTTATGTGTATTTTTTCTTTTGATAATGTCTGTATTTTTATCATAATTATTTTTGTGTTTTTGTTTTGTTTTCCTTTTTGGTTTTTACTTTAAAAGCAATAAAATTTGTAACTAATATTGTTAAGAGTCTCCGGTCTTTCTGTTTTCTCTGTATTCAGTACTCTAAGGTGCCTAAACAGTTGAATGTTAAGAATTTAACCATTTAAATATCATTCTACTGAAATGATTTATTGTATCAAGCTTTATAAATTGTGTTTTACTAGCAAAATGGGGAAAAAATAGAGGAATTAGACTCTTTGAAATTGAAGGCCAAGGACAGAAACCTTGATCTGTCTCTTGCCAGGAGGGACCCAACTCAGCTTTTGCAAAAGTTGAAGTATCTTTTGATCTTTGAATCAAGAGGAAGCTAGTACTAGAGGGGAGTAGCATAGCAGGGTGCTCAGAGAAAAAATATCATTGGCAGAATTGGGTAATTATAAATCAATCAGCAAGAATGCTGGACTCTATTATTGGTCTAGGACCATGATGGCGAACCTATGGCACACATGCCACAGGTGACACGCAGCACCCTCTCTGTGAGCCCGCAAGCCATTGCCCTAGTTCAGCTCTACCACACATGCATGCATGCCTCACACTGACTGGTAGTTGGGTCTCTGCTGTGAATGTGTGGGAGTGGGGTGCATGCAGAAAGGGCTTGCACGCATGCGTAGGGTCGAAGCGCATGGGGGTATGCGTGCATGTGTGGGGGCTGGGTACATGCGAAGGCGCACGCATGTGAGGGAGGACCGCATATAGGGAAGCTGGGAAAAGTCACCAAAAATGGGATGGTGAAGATCTTGTGGGACTTTTGAATACAGACGGATCGTCATTTGGAACACAATACGCCAGATATCACAGTTATCGAGGAACGAAGTGTACAGTTTATTGATATCGCTGTACCAGGAGATGCCAGAGTCGAAGAAAAAGAACTGGAAAAAATTACAAAATATCACATCAAAACTACATGGCTATGGATGAAACATGTGACAGTGATACCCATTGACATCGAGGCACTTGGTACCATGTCCAAGAATTTTATAAGATACAGAATAAGAATTTTATAAGATACATCAAGAATTTTATAAGATACATCAACAAATTGCAGCTTCCTGCAATAATACCAATGGAACTGCAAAAAATTGCACTACTCGAAGCATCGTACATCTTAAAAAGGTATTTGGTTGATACCTAGGATGCTGGTAGCAACCCATATCGACCATTGGCACCAGTCAATGGTATTTGTGATGCATTTTTGAATGTTCAGTTGATTGAGTTTCATGGTTAATGAATAAATAATAATAATAATAATTATTATTATTATTATTNATGAGCTCACGTACGCGCTTTGATCGGGTGCGCTTTAGTGGACCGCGGTTTTGACGGGTCACGGTGTTTCTTGCGTGGGAGGGGGCGGAAGCCTTGGCCTGCCCAGGGGGAGGGTCTGCCCAGAGACTCGTGGGTGGGGGAGGATATGGGGAGGTGGGGAACAAGAAAAAAAACCCCCTGGGTTGCTGGGGAATGGCAGCGTTTGTGCGCCTCCTTGGGTGTGTGTGTGTGCGATTTGTCGATTTCTTCGGCCAGCAGTGTTCGTCGCAAAGTGGGTCAAAGTAGGTAGCAGGAAGGTGGCCTTAACGATGGGGGAAGCAGCGACACAGAGTCCTCGGCTTACGACCATAATAGACATAGCTGTAAGCCCCCGAGTTACCCTTACATGGTAAAGATGGGCGGCCAATCAATTTTCACAGGTCGGTTGTTCAAAGGTGTGTCACCCGGTCGTTAAGTGGATCTGGCTCTCCACATTGCTTGAATGCTCGCAAAAGGGGAGCGCGTGAAATCCCCGGGGACACTGCAACAGTCATAAATACGAGTCAGTTGCCAGGCGTCTCGAGTGGTCGTAAGAGGAGGACTTGCCGATAATGTGGCGCATGATGGCTTTCTATCCACAACTCATGAACGGAGGTTTTTGCAATGTGCCCCTGTGGGTCTGTGGGAAGAGCCACACAAAAACCCATCATTGATGGGGAGTATCGTGGCCCAGTTGCCACCGGATGTCAATCGCCAGGAGCAGAATTCCCTAGTGGTCGAGGTTCTCCACTGGTGGCCAGCATCTCCTGAGCACAACTGGCTTGGTCCTAGAGAGGCCCCACATCTGGGCACCACCTGGAGGATCTACCTGTCCCAACAGGTGCATCATGGCACAACTTCTGCATAATCCCATCATCTTCCTCCGCTTAAACAGGGATGGCCCCTTTTACAACATCTGGTTCCCAGAATTCCTGTGTTGGCCGTGTTTTAATGGCCTCTGGACTTCAATTCCCAGAATCCCTGAGTTAGCNCCCCCCGATCCTCTGGCCGGCTCACCTCGGATGGACTGGCTGCTGGCATAGCTGACGGGCACCGTGTGCTGGCCCTGCCCCACGGCATAGGGGCTGTGCCCACTTTGGCTGCCCTGGTACTGCCCGTGTTCCGGGGTGCCCGCTGGGAAAGCTGGCTGGGCAGCAAAATGTCGGGTCTGTTGGGGAGAAGCGACACCCCCCCCCAAAAGAAAGTGGGGATCAGAAGAGAACCCCGGATTTTTCCCTGGATGCTCCAGTTCTGAAAGACCAGCCCCCCCAATGCAGGAAATCCTCGGCTTACAACGGTTCGTTTTACGACCGTTCAAAGTTACAACGGATTTATGACGCCCCTGGGGTCACACGACCCCCTTTTGTGACCTCCCGGCAAGCGAATTGAATGCGGAAGCCCGGATTCACTTAACAACCCTGGTGTTCCTCACTTAACAACCGAAGGGACTCATTTACGGTGGCAAGAACACCCATAAAGCGGGGGGAAACCCCTGCTGGACCCGTGTTTCACTTAGCGATGTAAATGCTCAATTCGGTTGCGGTCGTAAGTCAGAGATTTTCTGTTAGAAGGCCACGGCCAGATGTTAAAGACTTGGGGGGGGGGCTTCTCCCGCCGTTCCCCACCCATTCATGATCACAAGTTTCGATAAACCAACTTGTAACCCAGTTTGATGTGTTGTGGGAACCAAGTTTTCCCTGGGGTTGTAAACGATTCCGTGACAGGTTAGCTTAGCGTCGCTTGTTCGAACCACCACGAGGATTCAAACCAGGTCCTGCACAAGGTGTGAACGGGTCAGAGAGTTGGCCAAGGGCACCAAAGGCTTAACAGTTCACCCGTGGAACTCCTTGCCACCCGACATTGTGGGTGCTCCAATGCTGGAGGTTTTCGAGGCGAGATCGGACCCCCCCATTGGTCTGAAATGGTATCAGGGTTTCCTGCCTGAGCACGGGGTCTGACTAGAAGACCTCCAAGGTCCCTTCCAACTCTGCTACTCTACAATCAATTCACCTGTGGAACTCCTTGCCACCAGATGTTGTAGATACTGGAGGTTTTTTAAAGAAGACATTGGACGGCCGCTTGTCAGAGATGGTCTAGCACAGGAATCGGCAACCTTAAACACTCAAAGAGCCACAAANGGGGGGGGGGGCAGTTTTAGGGTTTCAACAGGTACAGCGTCCAAACCACACACACAGACACATATATCTAGCATAATATTCCAATTTATTCAGGAGTTGGTTACACCTGTTTGAGTTCCAGGGACAACCTTTTAAAAACCACTTAAGACGTAAAACAGAACAAGCTCATGGAAGAGCAGTGAAGATATCCTGAGGACTAGAACCTTAGGACGATCTATTAAGTAGAGAGAACATTTAATCTGAAGAAGATACTGTATAACCGAGCTGGCTTCGGATAGAATTCTTTCAAAGTACATGACAAGAATGTCACAGGTGTTTAAGAACTGTGTCCCTTTGAAGACTGGGGGGGTGGGTGGGGGGGACGGAACTTCAGCTCCCAGAATCCCCCAGCCAAGCGAAGATTTAACAACAAATGTATCTAGGCTACTTTTATTAAGTTTTTATTTTTATTTTAAATAAACTTTCTTAATAGACGGTGGGAATGCAGTCGATGTAATATATCTTGACTTCAGCAAAGTGGGGGGAAAAATAACCCACCACAAGCTAAATTAATAAGCGGGTTAAAGGCAATTCAATGCGAAACTGGTTTGCTGGCTGGGGGATTCTGGGGGGGTTGAAGCCCACCCGTTTAAAAGAAACCGAAGTTGAGAATTGTTGGGTTGGGGGATTTCTCTGGAGGATTTTTGCCCGCCGAGAATTCTCTGCGAGGAAAAAAACCAAATTTGAACCCCGCGTCAAGCCAACTTTGAACGCGCTTCGGGAATTACATCCCCTCCGTTGCAGAAAACGCGGCTTTTCTTTCGGAAAATTTGATGGGTTTCGCTTCGTTCGCTGCAGCGTGATTTGAACGCACGACCCCCCCCCCTCTAACCCCCTTCCAACCCGGCTAACGGGAGTTTGGAAGAAACCACGCCACGCTCGCCCTCCTTGACAACGGAAGCGTCGGCATTTTCGAGAACGCCGTTTTGCAAAATCCGCGAGGTTCCCGGAGAAAACGCGGGAAGGAAATCGAAAGGATGCGTCGCTCGTCCGAGACAGAACTTTCCTCTTCACGCCGGCACGGAGGGCGGGTGGGTCTTGGGGAAGGACGCTGAAGCAGCCAACGGGAGATGGGGGGTGGGTTGGGTGGTCTTCCAGGCTCACTTGTGGTAGAAACGCTGACCTTGCGGGTGCTGTATGAAGGGGTGTCGGGGTGCAGTTTGAGGGGACGCCTGGAAGCCGGACTGCAAGAGAGAAGCCGATGAAAAGACGTTTAACACACACACACACACAACACTCTCGGGCACAATCACATTGGGGGTTCCCCGTGAAGGTGCTGATCCAGAAACCAGGTGGTGGTGAGAGTTCTAGTCCTGCCTTAGGCATGGAAACTGGCGGGTGGCTTTTTAGGCCAACGACCAGCCGACGGTGAGTTCTTCTCGTTTAAGGCATGAAAGTTATCGGGGCGACGCCGGCCAATAACCAGGCGACGGTGAGTTCTAGTCCCAACGTATGTACGGAAGCCACCGGGGTGACCTCGGGACAATTGTGAGGACACGGTGAGTTCTAGTCCTCATTCAGGCAAGAAAGCCGGCTGGGGTGACTTTGGGCCCGTCCCCAGGAGGCGGTGAGTTCTAGTTCTCCGTGAGCCCCAAAAATCCAGCTACATGGCTTTGGGCCACCCCCCAGGAGGCGGGGAGTTCTAGTCCCGCCTTATGAAAGCCAGCTGGGTGACTTGGATAAGTCACCAGGAGGTGGGGAGTTCTAGTTCTCCGTTAGGCATGAAAGCCGGCTGGGGTGACTTTGGGCCCGTCGCCAGGAGGCGGTGAGTTCTAGTTCTCCATTAGGCCCAAAAGCTAGCTGGATGACTTTGGGCCAATCCCCAGGAGGCGGTGAGTTCTAGTCCCGCCTCAGGCACGAAAGCCAGCTGAGTGACATTGGAGAAGTCGACAGGCGCCGTGAGTTCTAATCTCCTAAATGTCAACCCTCCCGCCCGTCTCCCGGAGGAAAAGGTACCGTGTGAGGCTGCTGTGGGAAGCTCCCCGGAGACGCGGGCCGAGCCGTGTGGGTGTAAGCCAAAGTGGGCTGCAGACATTGGAAAAGGAGACAGAAGGGGAAAAATAAAACAGATTTAAGATCAAGAGTTCAAATTCCCCAAGATAAACCTGCTTTTTATCTTTATCATTGGTTCTACATCTCTTGAGGGGTACGGTGGCCTAGAGGGGGAGCTCTCGCCTCCCAATCAGCAGGCTCGGTGAGTTCGATCCCAGGTAGAGGCAGATATTTCTCTCTCGGCACAATGGAGCTAGCAGAGTGTTTTACTGGCCGGATGCTCTTCCCTGTTGCCAATGAGGAGTTTTGTTTGGCAGATATATCATTGACCCAAAGTCAATCTGCCGAACAAAACTCCTCATTGGCAACAGGGAAGAGCATCCGGCCAGTAAAACACTCTGCTAGCTCCAATCAGCTGCCCACCTCGCAAGGGATGATGAGGTCATTAAATATATCTGCTGAATATAACTCCGCATTGGCGACAGGAGGGGCGTCTGGCCAGTAAAACACTCAACTGTATTCAGTTGCCCAAGACTCCACCCCACAAGGGGTTATGGGCTCGTCAAATGAGCACAGTGAATATGTGATTGTATAGAATGAAAACATAATAAAATATATATTTAAAAAAAAAAAAAAATGAAGATGAGGATTTAATTATTATAACTAGGGAGAGGTACGGTGGCCTAGAAGTGGAGCTCTCGCCTCACAATCAGGAGGCTGTGAGTTCGATCCTAGGTAGAGGCGGGTATTTCTCTCTCTGGGCACAATGAGAATATATCTGCTGGTGGGGAAAAAACTCCGCAATGGCGACAGGGACAGGCATCCGGCCAATAAACCCTTTCAGCTCCATTCAGTTGTCCAGACTCTACCCCCGCAAGGGATTATGGGCTCGTTAACAGATGATGATTGTTTCTACATCTCTAATAAAGTTGATTATATTGTGGGAGGGAGGGCAGATCCATAATAATACATCAATAATAATAATAATAATATAACAACAAATAATAAATAACAGCAGGTACATTAAAGAAAGAAACAGAGTCACTAATCCTGATTGCGCAAGAACAAGCTATCCGCACAAATGCCATTAAGGCCAAAATCGAAAAATCCTCTGATGATGCCAAATGCAGACTTTGCAAAGAAGCTGACGAAACTGTTGATCACATACTCAGCTGCTGTAAAAAAATCGCGCAGACTGATTATAAATTGCGGCACAATTCAGTAGCACAAATGATCCATTGGAATTTGTGCAAAAATTATAATATTAAAACAGCAACAAACAAACTGGTGGGAACATCAGCCTGAAAT